ATTAAAGGACCTTATTCATCATGTGCACGTTATGTATTTGATTGTAAACATGTTGTATTAATTGGAGGTGGTATTGGTATAACACCATATGCATCAATTTTGTCAAGTCTTATGGCACAATGTCGTGCATCATATGTTGTTTGTAAACATTGTGATAGTATTAATTATAGTTCTAAAGGTCTTACAGGAAATCGTCGTTTAAAAAAAGTTGATTTTATTTGGGTAAATCGTGATTATAAAAATTTTGAATGGTTTCTTAATCTTCTTCGTCAATTTGAACAAGAACAAGAATATTATTTAGCATCAAATTCTAATGAAAAACGTTTTCTTGATATACGTTTATATTTTACAGAAATAAAACATGATCAAAATATTGGTAATGTACCATTAGATCTTGTAACAAAAATTTGGGCAGAAATAGCTGGACAAGATATATTTACAAATTTAAAATCTAAAACACATATTGGTCGACCTCAATGGAAAAATATATTTAATGAATTAATATCAGGTGAAAATGCTTCAACAGCTAATGATGTTAGTGTTTTCTTTTGTGGACCATCAACAATGGCAAAAGCAATTCAAAATCATTGTGCTACATTTCGATTTCGATTTTATGAAGAGAAATTTTGATTTTTCTTTATTTTCATTCTTTTCTTATTTGTAATTAATATTAGCGTAGTCTCTTTCAGACTGAAATATGAAACTCATATATTTTCTTTAATTTCATTATATTAATATAAAATATACAAAGTCTAATAGTTCCTATTCATCAATAATTAATTGTCAATAGACATTCTCTTTTTATTTCTATATGTCCAACATGAATTTAATTTTCCTCTTCTATTTCGTTTTCGTAATTTAGAATTATTAGTATAACTATTGATTTCATGAACAAAAAAAAAGCATGTTATACACATTTGCTATATTTACAGCAGATCTCAATGATCTATTATGTATCTTGATGAGCTCAGAAATTTTGTGCTAGTCATATGATAATTGAAGCTATTTCAATTTTCTATCATATTGTTACTCATGGTCCATTCTGTATAAACATATAAACATTTAACAGAATAAATGGTCAGTATAGACAAATTCTTCTAACGAAGATACTATTGATCATTCTTTATTTATTGTTTCTTTCATGATGTAATTATTTTTTTTGTTTAAAAATAAAATAGATTAGTAGAATTTTCATACTTTAACAGTGCAGGTATAAAAAAAAGTCGATTGTTGTTGTCTGAAGTTCGTTTTCAAAAATGTTAATTTTAAAATTTCTCATCAATAATTTCAACCTTTATATAACATGTAACAAATGTGTACGCAAGATGTCTTGTTTATGTTTAATCCTTTGAGTACCGGATTATTTTTATAATTTCAAACTAACGTTTATTTCGCAAAAAATATCATAAAGTACATGAATTAAAATGCTTGTAGAGTGTGATAGTCTTTAAAACAATCCATAAGACACAATCCTACATCACATTCAATGCATTTATATGAAGTATCTCTTCTTGATCTGGCCCTTCTCACAGTATTGGCACAAACGTAACATTTTCTTCTTGGACTTTAGTTGAATCTCTGTTGATTCAGTGCGCGAAGGAAAATGCTATCAATTGATCAGAACCTTTACTATAGATAACACTCTTGAATGACTGTGTTAATATGAAAAATCCTGTTGATAACAATTATTCTTTCTTGGGAAATGTTGTCCAATGACTTATGTTCTAATTCATTTTATCACATAGTGATCGATAGAAATATTAGGGAACAACCAATATTCATCACCAGGTACAGATAGTCTTAACCGTACAAATATTCTAAACCCAAATATTCATGTAATTCATATCATAAAATAATCAAACGATCATATTTTCTAAAGTTATTCAGATCCTAAACTATCAGGACGCGAATTCGCGTCGCCGGTACTCAAAGGGTTAATCAATTCAATAGATAGATCCGTCAAATTATTTAACAAAAGACAGACTTCTCTTTGAAAAAAATGTTCAATAGAATTAGAATTTATTGTTAAAACAATAGGTAAAAACTCTAATTGACATATATACAACAAATGATATACTTTGCAATATCTTAATACTGATAGATGAAGTATTTTAAGAAGATCATTTAAATACACAACCTTATCAATAGAAATGATAATTAATGAAATAAGATTGGATAAAAAAGTTATATTAACAAGAATATTTTCAAAAATAAATCTTTCAATTTGATTAAATTTTGATATTATGTGTGACAATGAAAAAATAATATCAATCATAAATGGATTGACTGAATCTAATGATTTAATCTGACCTTCAAAAATCAATTTACGTCAGAACATTTGAATATATTAAAAGATTTTCAAATATTTCATAAATAACTTCATTTAAAAAATCTTTCAAAATCAATTAAACTTTCTTTTGATCAACTGAATAAATAATAATTTTAAATGAGAAAATAAAATTCTTCTTCATTATTTGATTCATCTCGATCGTTTGTATTTTCGAATTTTTTTTTTTTTTTTTTATAACGAAATGTAAGAAAAAAAACAACAGGATAAAAATGAATGTATTTATATATTGAGTTACAGAATGACGGTACAAAATAAATAATTACAATGATATTATATCGACTAATTTAAGAAAAATAAACATTTATATAATTTAATCAATGAGAAACTATTGAATGATATGTTTCTACTCGGATGAAAATTAAATGATTGAGAGTTCTTCAAGTTGTTTCAAAAAATTAATCGCTCAAAATCTAACTCATCATGTCTCTATAATAATAATAAAAGTTAGATATTCCGTCTCCACAAAAAAAAACCTATCAATTGTTCATTATATTTTATAAATAATCTTTTATTAATTTGAAACAACAGAAATGATTTTTAAATAAAATTTTCAATTTTAGACAAAAAAAAAAATTTTGCAACGAAAACATTTTTTCGATAGGAAATATAATCTTAAATTTCTAAACCTATACAAAAATAACATACTTCTTAATTGAAAAAGAAGATTGCGCTAAAATTGTACTTAATAACATAAGTTACAATTGTTTGGACTCTATTTGTTAGAAATAACCCCTGTTGCAAAAGTCTTTAGACAAAATGTTTATTCATTTTTCAGTCGCCTAAACGTCATTAGTGAGAATCAAAAGCAGTTAGCTAAAATCAGATTTTTGTGTTCTTTCCGAATATCTGATCAGAATATTTCTCTGACTTAACATTGATTAGAAATGGGCCAAATGTTTGACAGAGTGAAAAATGATGTCTGTACAAAAAGTCATTCTGCAAATGTTTGTTCATCTTTCAGCCGCTAAAAGTATTTGATACGAACCAAAAGAAGCTCCTTATAGTCAGTCTTATCTGCTCTTCTCTGATATGTGTTCAGAATATCTCTTTGGCTTAAGATTGGTTAGCTGTAAGTTAATACTTGAAAGAGGCGAAGAATGACATCTCGACGAAGAAAACACAAGTTTTCCCGCTATTCATTACTTATGTGAGTTGGATTTTGAAGCAGTTCGAAATTGGCAATTTGTAGAGCATTCAATTCTCTATAAAACCATATGTAACAATAGGCTTCAACTCAAATGAATAAAAGGTTGTAGACGTTTTTCTGAGAACTGATTGGTACGTAAAATAAAATCCTGCCAAAAAGTCAGTTTTCCAAGATCTTCTATTTATAATGCAACAGATTGCACGTATTTGTTTCCAGATAGAAAACCAAACTAAATAGCATAGTTTGTAGAGCAAACTTCGCTCTATAAAATTGGCTGATGAAAATATCTTTCATGTTTTGCGTAGAGTAGATATCGATCAAAACACTAAAATACATCCAATAAAATTCTGTACAAACATCATTTTCGACTCTGTCAAACATTTGGCTTATCCCTAAACAATATTGAGTCAATGAAATATTCTGATCAGATATTCGAAAAGAGCACAAAAATCTGATTTTAGCTAACTACTTTTGATTCTCACTAATGACGTTTAGGCGGCTGAAAAATGAATAAACATTTTGTCTAAAGACTTTTGCAACAGGGGTTAATAAGAGTTAATTAACGCTTATCCAGGGTAAAAACATAAAGAAGAAGGTTTCACATTTGAATCATTTTATTTGATAAAAATAATCTTTTCATTCGTGATGTATATCATTTCTTCTGATATATTTCAGTTATTTATCTTGTGTTTCATATAATGTTCGCTTTTCTAAAGTATAGAGAAACACAAAATGTATATTATTTCTCTTTTCATACATTTTAATATTTCTTTAATGTTCAGATCTTTTGCTGCATTCTATGAGCTGATGAATTAATTTCTGTTAGAATATATATTTTATCAAAAATAGTTGTTACATAATGTCAATAAAAAGTAAGTGTATTTTTAAAACGAAACTTTTTATAATAGACAATACTCATTGATATTGTGATTAGATTCGTTGGTTCCACTTTTATTTTACAGAGAGTCTTTAGTTTTATATGTAGTAAAAATTTAATAGATAAACCAATATACATTAGAAATGATTCTTCACTAAAGTGATTGAATTTTGTCTAATACCAGAAAAATCTGGTTAAATGATTTTACATAGTCTCATCATTTATAATCAAGAAACATTGCAACAAAAGACAAAACCTAGTGAAGGTATAGGCACCAACTCCTTTGTTTTACATTAAGGATTAATCTTTAACTTGATTCACTAAAGTATGTGAAAATGGAGACGGATAGGTTCTCTTCACATAGTAACTTGTGACAACACTACAAGAAGTTTAGATTAATGTTCATTTGAATATTGGCGAGTGTATGTGTATATTAATCATGTAATCTTTCTGTTGAGATTCTATTGAGTTTGTATATTATGCCATTCGAATCATTATTGTTGCAATATTCAATCAAACAAACTATTATATGGAAAAATACTAACACTATGACTGTTAGTATTATTTACATCATAATATAGAGTCAAATCATGAAAGATTTATTGATGCAAGAGGGGGTGTAAAGTTCAACTTTTTTTATTTACATCATCATGCGCAAGAGTCTTGAACTGCTGTAAAAGATGATTGACCTGTCGAAGTTGAGCAAGTGTTACTTGGGCTTGTCTTATTCGTTCATTGAGTAATTCATGTGTTTGTCTCATCTCGACCTCTTTCTCAGCAATGCTTGCTTGCAGTTCAGTTTCATCATCAACATCATCATTGTTGTTTTCATCGTTGAATGGTGGAGGTGATGGTGAAGGAGAACGATCTGGTTCCTAAAAGAAAAAGATAATATATATAAAATTAATAAAATCATTAGAGAAATGTTGAGTTAAAAGTTATATGTTAGGTGCAAAGCTTTCATACCCGATCAAAACGCATGATGATGTGATACAATAACTTATGATACGAGTGCTACGACAACAGGGTATTTATTCTTCAAGGACAAAAATTATTATTCCTTTTTTTTCTCGAATATATGACGTACATATGCATTAGTTGTTCTGAGAGGGTTAAGGACAAAAGTCGCGAGAGCAGGAAATGTACAGAAAGAAAGAGAATCGACGAGTGATATTTTCTTGGTGCAGGTTGTTTTTCGATTATGTATAAACATATGAGAGAATCATCAGTCAATGATGAATCATCGAAAGCTTAGAATAATGCACTCAAAGAGAACAGAGTGCATTGTTAGATGCAATCTTACGTACTAGGAACTTGGCAAAGATCTTCTAGAGAAGAATTTATCGTTTACAAATTTGAGTTCAATACTTTTAAGTGATATATAGTGATATGCTTTATTGATTTAACAAAAGATAAACAATGAAGAGCAAATTTCCGTATCGAGCGATCTAATTCACAAAGAAAGAAACGCCAAAGACTTTGTCGGATAATCTATAATGAATGAAGGTTAATTTTTGAACTTTTAGCTCAACTAGAAAGAAAGATCTATTCGACATGAAACTTTCAGCAATATAGTAGATTTTCAATTTGAAAATACTTACGAAGTAGCCCCCACAATGTTTGATATAAAGTTTTATCCATTCAATTCACTTTGGGTGTGGGATATTGCTGTAGCTGTGTATGTGGATGTTTGTGTTCTCTCACATTTACATCGTATCAATGAAAGAGAATTGTAATGTATCACCAACGATGTCGCGACGAAATGTATTCCTGAATTGATGGATCTCGTCGACAACATGAAACAGATATCGTCTTAAGTATTCTACACGGTAATTTTATTCAAATCTAGTCGTGCATATATTATTTGTTGCTTTCGAAGTAGTAAAAAGCTGCGTGATCAATTTGAGTATCTACATACAGTACAGCATCAAATCATTGATTGATTGATTGATGAGTATAATTATCCTTCATTCAAATATTTGAATTGAAAGATAATTCTTTCATACGATTCCGCTTCCATCGATTAGCCTCAATCTACATCTAGTCCGTTTTTTTTCTTCTTTCTTTTATCTAGTAAACAAGAGAAATCCCCTGTCTCTATAATAGATATTCATATGTTGAAAGATATTGTTTTATTTTAAATAGAATCATAGTATTATTAATGATGAGAAGTTTATGTGTTAACATGCATGTTTTCTTATTTCTCAAGAACAGACTATTTTTTGATAATAGTAAAAGTTACGTTTAGAAATATTTATTTCTATTTTATTTAAAAGAAGAAATTAAGTCTCAATCAATAATTGATGATTATATGTCAACATACTTTCAATGATTACACATAAAGTTTTACTCAACAAGATGGTTATACATATGAAATTTGATTCAAATATTATTACTGATTCAATACAAAGCGATATTGATAGATGAAAATGAATCGAGTTCTATTTGACTTTATTTAAACAATCTAAACAGAACTAATTACAAACATTAATACAAATTAGAGAAAAAAAAGAGTAACGTGTTCGTTTAAGTTAATTCTATGTTTTATCTCAAAACATAAACAAGTGACTGTCTTGTGATGATGAATACTCTTAATAGTTAAAGACTAAAATTGAAAGATAACATTGAAATAATCGTTATGAGTCAATCAGGTTGTTCGATTAAACGTACACTTATGCATATGGTTTCTTATGAAACATGAAAAGCATGCACTTCTGTATTATGCCTCATTTTGCTTAGTTTTTAATTCGAGTTCGTTTTATTTTATGTTTTGTCATCATATTTTAGGCAATTACACAACTAGAAACATATTGATAACATTGGTAAGATAGAGGGTAGACTGTAAATCGCCATTGATCATTCTTCATTCTTGGATTATCCCAAACTGTTCAAGATTTTGACCTGTGTCGCTCCCGACATCGTCTGGAAGAGAAAAAAAAACGAATAGGGCAATACTATCGTAGTCGAATGTCTCTCCTTATTTTGTCACGTCAATGGAAAATCAAGAACTTTGAAAATATGTATCATCAAAAGGATGTTCAATTCTTTATTCTCAGAAATAAGTCAAAGAAAATTACAATTTCTTAAAGAGATTTTTCAAACGCAAAAATGTTTTATTGATTGAAAGCAGTAATTGAATACATTGAGATCTAATGATTAATAAATAATTACATCAGTAGTCGATCTATAAGTTTTCGTCACGTTTTTGATTTTACTTAATTAGTTCGAGAGTACGTAATCAAATAGATGAATCTCTTTGAACACGATCGAATATATCCATGATCAATATGTAATAAATGATTGACAAATAATCGCTCTCGAACACGATCATTGTGCAAAGTTAGAAACAGAATTCCTTTTGATTTAAACCATCGAACAATATTCGACATGATACGAAATGTTGTTTCACTTGGTAAACCTCGATCAGGTTCATCAAGAATAAGTATTTGACTTTGACACTGTTCACTTCGATTCAGTGCTCTTGCAAGCATTAAACGTGTTTTTTTGACCGCCACTTAATCGATTTTCAAGAGGATGATAAAGTTCACCACCAAGATTATCTCGTAAAAATGAATCGATTTCAATTAATCGTAAAAAATACCAGATTCATTCTTCGTCTTCGCGTGAAATAACTGATTGACAATCGTATTCCGAGTCAGTGATCATTGTATAAATTGAAGAACAAAAATCCATTTGTGTATCTTGAAGTACAACTGTTCGGAGCGATTCAATATTATGAAATCCATTAGGTAATTCAATTGTTTCATCAATCATTATTCGAGCTTTATATCTTTTAGTGGAGATACAACCACTTAATATATCATAGAATGTTGATTTTCCTAGTTAATAATAAAAATAGTTTTCGAGAAAAATTCATTCCGAAAATCATTCAGTCGTTTTCTTTTTAGTAGCTCGATAGACATAATTTCGTTTTCAAAAACCCTTTATAGAAGATTCTACTTTCTTCAACATTCGCTCATTTATGTCGATCTCAATTTTAATCAACTGCTCTCAAAGAAATATTCCATATTTAAAACAGTTAGTCAGAATATTGAAAATTTCTAGCAAAAACCGAGTTGTATTCAAGGAGTTGTATTTCAAAAGGAGCAAACTCATTTGATCATCAGGATATCCGAATGGGATCAGATACAGTTGTGCGCCAAATTTATCGGTCTAAAGCGGTCATTTCAATATCTCGAGCAGTCACTGATGCATGGGCCCATCAGCAGATAGCATTTTGAGTTAAGAATAGATATAAGCTGAACTAGAACTACAAATAGCTGCTTATATATATGTATAGGTTAACATATTCTGTGGTCTTCATTCTTCCCAAAAGCAAGGACGGATTTTGAGAGGGTTTTTTCCGAAGTTCAGGAGATATGCCTAAGTACATCCGGTATGTTTTGATAAGATTGAGATACGAAAGAGAAATTGACGGATAAAACTACATTTTTGAACCATCTTCAACTGCAAACTAATAGTAAGAGTGAAACTAAAATATTTTGGGTGTGGGTGTGAGTATAGGGGTAGCTGTTGTCTACACCCACACCCGCACCCACAACATGGAAAAAGTAAGCAACGTATATTTAACTCTTCCTTAAATTGTTGTCTTTTTTCTGTAACATTGCCATATGTTATTGGTTTACTTGCTGGTAAAAATACTAGTTTATATGAGCGAATGTTTGATGAATTAATATTTCATACAAATCGTCTTTACTTATTGTTTGAACCTCAACAGGCTTCGTCTGACTTTGAAAAGTCATTTATCAAAGCTGTATCAAATGAATACGAACCATAGTGAATGTTATTTCCATTTTTGTCAATGTATCTATCGTAAGATACAGAGTTCAGGTCTTGCTGATTTATATAGAGAAGATGATGATGTACGTTCCATTTGTCGACAACTTATGGCATTACCACTATTAGCTGTACACGAAATTGAATATGCTTTTGAAGAATTAGTTGAACAATCACCCAATGTTATTAGTCCTCTTATTGAATATTTTAAAAATCATTGGATGAACCAAATGTTCATTAACATGTGAAGTGTGTTACATTTGGATACAAAAACCAATAACTCAGTAGAAGGTTTCCTCATTTTAGAATTATTATTTTGCTTTAAAGTTCTCTTTATAGACTGGCACAACCGTTTCAATAAAAGAATAAATCAACATCACCCAAACATTTGGCATTTTATTTCTATTAATACAACTGTTATTCAACAACGACTTGATAGTTTATTCATTAGATTTCAAAATATGGAAATCGATTTGAGAGAATACCTTCAAAGTTTATCTTTACTCGTGACAAAGGATATAAAGGCTAATAAATGATTCTCAAGTCAATAGCAATTATTTTTCTAAAAACTCTGTCTTCTAATTCTCCTTTGAATCACATTTTGTATCGTGTATATTGATTTTTTTTTACATATGTACACTCTTCATTCCTAAATCTTGGTTTTTACATGGCATTGGTGTCGAAATCTTGCTCTTTCGAATGGTAAAAATCGCAGCTCTCTTTCTTATTCCTATCAAAAATTATTTGAAAAATGGTAACCTGTCTTTTATTTTGCAAAGGATATTACATCGAGTTAAACACATTTTAGAGAAGCTTTTTTCTTGCGAAAAACTGCCCCCTTGACGGACCACGAGGCAAAGTTTCAATAAAATACAGCGCTGTGGGTCCACAGCTGAATTTTTCATTGGAAAAAAATTTCTCTAAAAATCATCGAAAACAATTATATGAGTGAGATGTGCACTTCGTTTCACTCCGGAGATACAATTTATGTTTGAACATTTTTTACCATTTTGTAGAAAATAAAAAATTGCATAACATGTACAAAGTTCAGCTAGGAACTTTCTGATTCTGAATCTGATAGCAGATAAATAATTATCTAATGAACATTTGTAACTCATCGAAAGAGTTCTTTTTTATCCATGTTAGCTTTATAAAAGTTGAGTCGGTGGACATTGTATTACACTGACATAGCTCGTTTTGTTTAGTTTTTAAATCTCTCTCATTTAATGGTATCAATAAAAAAGAATCTTATGTAAGTTTGTGTATCAAACGTGATTTCAATTCTTATTTCAATAGTGAACTAATCAAAGAAGAGAAGAACA